TCACACTGTTCACTAATGCTTGCATTGATAATTTTTTTTGTAAATACTTGCTTCCTAAATTCGGTGTTCCAGACGAGCAAACTGATAAATTAGGAAGGTGGCATCGTATTGCGTGGTGAGGAACCTTTCAAGTGAGTAAGCAACATCAGGAATTACGGTTGGTGAAATTCCATTAAGTAAGTTTTCACATGGACAATGGATGTCTTTTCAGCAGCTTCACCAACAAACTAAAGAGAAATGTCAGGAAATCTGGGTGAGACAAGTTCAGTCGCTTTCTGCCATAGATGGTGATGACAATGGCAGTGATACATATGCCCATAGCTATTTGGACTCATTTGATGGTGATGACAATGGAGTAATAACTGAACTGGCATGTACTCCGTAGAAAACAAACATGTGCCAACAGCTTCGTGGCGTGACACAAAGATGGCATCTGAAATTTTCAGTGCATGGATGGCGTGTGCATCAATGACAAAGAGAGTTTTTTTGTGAATAATGAAAGAGAGTTAGTGTTGAATTCGCAAAAAATGACCTATATACCGATTAATATGGTATAGAAACTCCGAGAGGAATCCTAGGACCACGACCATGTATTACTGGAATTAGGATCAAGCTGAATCTTTTGAATAACCTCCTAAAGGTCAAGGAACTGAAGAATTTTTTAATGTTGAGGGGCTTCTCATGCCATGGATCCAACGAGCATTTTTGAGAACTTCAGCAATGGTGTGCTGACATGGTTGCCAGCTGCAGAGATAGAAAACTTGATGTGTTGTAGGCCCTCCTTTTGCTACCATCATTGCCAAGTTTCTTCATTTTACCACCTCGCACTGACAGGTGTTGCTTCGTGGCATGAAAAGTAATTTTTTTATAAAATATAGCAAGTGTACTGCCAATTCATTTCAGGAGAAAAGAGTTTATTTTACAAAAGAGAGGCATGGAGAACCTAGATAAAAATGATAAGAACAATGACTGATTGCATTCCTGGGGTGCATATACCTTCTGGTTACCATCCCACAAGAGAACATTAGACCAACAAAATTATTATGTTGCCTCACATCTAAGCATACAACTATTCCATATAACTCCTTTGATGGTTAGGTCAATTTAAGTACGAGGGATGCATGTTTGTTGGAAGCAAAGGTTTTCATAGTGTAGCTTTAGGTAAACAAGCGAATACTCTCTTCATAATTTTTGTCATCCATGCCATTTTATTTGACAACAAACACTAGGTGATACAAATCTCAAAGTATCACATCTTATCTCATACAACCTCCAGGACCACCATAAAAGCATACAGCATGATCAATACGGGTGATAGAGTGGCATTTTTTATCAGTAACAAACATGGGTAGGTCTTCCTTGATTGGTCTACTATTTCCATCCTGGTCAATGAATCTGATGTCTGTGAATGATGCGGCGCGACCCTTACCACCATTTGGGAGGGCACCACTGCCCATTGGAGGAGTTGGAAGTGCTTTTTTAGATTTAACAAATGCACCAAATTGCATTCCGTCCGCCTTTTCTGCTAAGTAGCTGAACAACGACCTTGGGAAGTATCCCACGCCTGTCGGGATTTTATTGAAGCCGTAATACACCCACCAATCTCCACTTTTTTTGTCCTGAAATTGATTAGGATTTAGACTAAAGCCCTTCACATTTAATTTATACCTTTGACATATGTTATGATCCACCAATTATTAGGTTGTAAAAAATTATACACCTTTATCGATCACGTAGTCAGATTTTCATAAGCGGAATAACATGGCTATGAAATGCATACAAAAAGGATGAAAACATACCTTTAGCACCCTTAGAGTGATACTTTGTCTAGGTCCATTAGGGACATTAGAAACTGGATGTATAGCATCACCAGGAGCTATAACAGCGCCATCTACCCGTATGTAACCAGGGCAGTCCATGTTGTAGCAGCCGGTTGCATCATAATTATCTCTCTGTTGCATACATTGTTTTTGTGTGTGGGTTAGAAACTTCCTATGTATGTTTCTTATCAGAGTAAGATCACTTTTACTGTGGGAAAGAGTAATTTTCAAAGCATAATTATCACAATACCGTCCAACGGGTGTAGAAGTGAGGATGTGAGTCGCCGTAGCGATCTGGATTAATCTGTTCAACAAAGGGTACACATAAGATAAACATTACCTCACACTTAAAGGTCAAGAAGGGGAGTTTCCAATAAATGGAAAACAAATGAATTGGTTTGCCATTTACATGATGGCAAGCGATGGTTTTTGAGTGTTGTGATCCCACAATTTACAAAATTTAAAATTCATATTTAAATTTTCATAAAATTTAGAAATAGTTCCACATGTAAATGTGCCTAGAGTATCTGTAAAATTTTGTCCATAAACTTGTTCTTTATGAGCTACACACAAAGGACAAACATATGGATGAAATGCTTTGTTGATGAAATTTGGCAGAAGGTTAACATCTACACATACATGTGGTCATAAATTGAAGAATTTTATACTTAAAATACGAATTTGGAGAAGAAGGAAATGAGCTCACTTGAGCCAAAATAGTTTTGAGTTTCTGGTAACTTTTCACATGGCCAACTTTTTTTAACTGTTATATAACACTTCAGAGAAAAATGGCAAGAGTTTCCTAGTTTTCAAGGGGCATAGTCTTAGCCCACAAATAAATATGATTAAGTATTTTTTTGTGATGCGCATTTAATTTGATCCCAAGGATGTTCAGGAATTTTGGCAAGCCGACAAGATATATTTATGTTACTTGAATATTATAATATCATAGTTGAAGCAATAAACTAATGACCAATTTATTATTTAAATTGAGAGGCTATGTGCATGGGAAGAAAAATAATGCTTACATGCCAGCCAACTTGAATCGCATTATAGCTTGATTTATTACCATGTCCTGCATGATTAATCCAAAAAGTAGTCGAACTCCATTGGCCATGTTTTAGTTCGTGTCCATACACATCCATGATGGCATGTAAGCCATAGTAGTTGTCATTAGGACCTCCAGAATGTGTTAGGTGTGCCACAAACTGCAAGATGGAAGCAATCAAGTGACGTAACTAACAATTTCCATGGGAAATTACTAGCCAAAAGCAATGGCATCAAATTTTCACTGGGGAGTATTTTCTTCAAAATAGTTATGGTTTAAAATGTATATAAATCTCAAAAAATACCTTGAAGTTAACATAATATTGTGCAACGAACATAAAGAACAATCAATTTTCATGGGGAAATGATCAACTAACAATTGTTGGGGTAATAAATAGTCAAAAACAATCTCATCAAACTGTTAACAAGGTGTATTTTTGCTTCCAATATTTTATAGTTTAAAAAGTGCATAAATTTCACTACATATCTCAAAGTTAGCATAATAAATATATTGTACAAATTGAAAGAAAGGAACTAACAAAATCCATCCATGCTAATGTTTAGATCATTCTGCTAGTTTTCCAAAATAACATGATTTCTATATAAAACATTACTACCAATATGCATTGGGGAAATATTTCACTTCGTGTGTTGATAAAAATAAGTACAAAAATAGATTCATGCAGCGGAAATATTTCCTTACTTTATTAAATTGGTAAAGACAAATAGGATAGCTATGATGGCTAACTCGGACTAAAGTAGCATTTATCTCACTTTGATGGCAGGTAGATTAGCATCATATTACGAACATATTATTCGGTGAATCCTAAAATAAACGATTACCTAGTACATATGAATACTCATAATTGTGCCTATCGACATAATATCATGACATTTACCAAAACCTAATAGGTCAGCAATTAGTGTTGTAGTTATTTATATCATCTCACATTCATATTTGTGAACATGTCAAAATAGCTGCAATGCAACATCATACGAAGTTATATGTGACTACATACATGTAAGTATGCTTTCCAACAACCGAATTCCATAATAAATCTTATATTACTGAAAATGACATGCCATGTTGCTTATTCCAGATTTAAATTACAATATATTGTGTCATTGCACTTAAAAAGTGTACTATTTGATAATCTTGGGTAAAATACTTAAGTAAACTGAGTGAAGATAAGAAAGTGTAACCCACATAGGGATCATCCCATGAACTAGAACCTTGCCCTGAAGTTAGTGCTTCAGTGGAGTTTGACTTCAAACTTTTGAGAATTTGTTTGGCTGAACCATGGACAAAATCTTTGGACAATGAATTATTTTCCTTCAAGTAAAAATGTAAATGTATGTTAAGAAGGGAAAAATTTATATGAAGTATCTTTTGTAGAATCAATAAACTAAAGCTAATGTTTATTTCATAGCTAAACATTGTAGTCATAGCAATAGTAGATGAATAGATATGCTAAACACTTTGAAATTATACTCTAACATAGTTTGTTTCTCATTTCACTCCCATGATTTTGTTGGCATCCAACTATTATAGGAGGAGTGTATATACTATCCGGTGATGTCTCTAATCCTTCCAACATATATATGTATTGGTGGTTGTCCTATCATGTAATTGTTTAGTATTCTTAACTTATAGGTCCATCTTGTTATGCATGGTTATTCTGAACCATGATGTCTTTTGAAATGAAAAATAACTAAATACATCAAAAGACCAAGAATGCTGGGGAATTCCTCAAAAAAGTATGGTTGGGGAAAATAACCCATTAATCTATCTCACTCACGTTTAATATTTATATACACTATTGTACTATCACAATATATAGTAAGATTACCTCTTCAATGGTAGGGAAGAACCGAACACCTCTAGCTTGAAAAGCATGATAAAAGAAACATAAGGCAATTGCTCGTCGAAGTAGATTAAGCCTATACATATTTTGATATGTAATAGATGAAGATCACTATGGGCAACCAGAACTATATATAGACCATATATGTGTGTCTTTCTAGTACGTGTCAAGCTAAACCATACAAAATTAACTGAGTAATGTGCAAATCTTTATTCAATGCACACAAAATATTGCATATTTATTTAATACACACAAAATATATGACATTAATTACAATACTAGAGAAATATTTGCGCAATATTGTGTGCGCATTAAATAAATATTTGTGCAATATTCTATTAATTTTGTATGGTTTAGCCTGACACATACTAGAGAAAGATTTACATCTTATAGAAATAAATAGGGAAAATTTTGTTTTTGCCACTCTAGATTTTGACTGTTTCCTTATGTCACTCTAAAATTTGATATTTCATTCTTGCCACTCTTAGATTTCGACAATGTATCACAATTGTCATTTCGTGGCAAAAGCAGAAAAAGAAATCATTTCACTTTTGCCACTCTTAGCTTTTGACAATATATCACAATTGCAACCCTAATTGTTTTTCCTTTTGCCATAGAATGACAATTGTGATGTATTGTCTAAATCTAAGTGTAGCAAAAGTGAAATGTCAAATTTTAGACTGGCATAAGGAAATTAGCAAAACCTACAGTGGCAGAAACAAATTTTTCCCAAATAAATATCATATGGTTTAATGACATAAAAGAAATGTAATATAGTGCTTAATGAATGCTTTTGCACAAATATTAATAAATATTTATTTTTGTTTAATGAATCCTTATTTAAAGCATAATAAATGATTTTGCGCCAATATTAATGAGCATGATAAAAGAAACATAAGGCAATTGCTCATCAAAGTGGATTAAGATTATACATATTGATATGTAATTGATGAAGATCACTATGGACAACCAGATATATATATATAGACCATATGTTTTGTGTCTTTCTCTAGTAGGTGTCAAGCTAAACCATACAAAATTAATTGAATATTGTGAAAATCTTTATTTCATGAACAAAAAATATTTTAATTAATGTCATATATTTTGTGCACATTAAATATGCAATATTTTGTGCACATTAAATAAAGATATGCGCAATATTCAGTTAATTCTTTATGGTTTAGCCTCACACGCACTAGAGAAAGATTTACATCTTATAGAAATAGATATTGTATGGCTTCATGATATTAAAGTAATGTAATAGAATACTTAAGGAATGATTTGGCACCAATATTTATGAGTTATATGCCACGATTAAATGCCACTTTCATGAAAATATTCACAGCCTCCTCTGTGAGACATACACATGGTCTATATATAGTTATGGCTGCTACCAGTGCTAGGCTAGCCCACTTAGATGCACCATGGGGGAACGCGTTGTAGGGAGCTCCTATGTGACGCATGGGCGTCAAATTTTCGGTGTTCCATATAATGCACCACTAGATTGGGCCAACCCATGTAGCCAGCATGCTTACCGATCCTAGCTTTTTTTGTCTCATTATAGTTTTTATGGTTTTTAATTGTGGTTTTCTAGATGAAATTTATTTTTTCTAAATGTAAAAAAGTAAAGAAAAACACGGACATCATTCAAAACTGCCGTGAAGGTTTTTGTAAAAAAAGCTGACATTTTTTAATTTTGAAAGATATTAGTTTTTTTTAAAGAGAACATTTTGAATTGCGAATTTTTAAATATTTTGAACATTCTTCTGAAGTCAAAACATCTTTAAATACAAATATTTTTATAAATCCAAATTTTAAAATTTATTTGAAAATAAAAACTGGAAAAGAAGCACATAACACCTGGTAATTATAAATAACCAGACGAAACCTTCCATAAGGTTTCCAAAACCCGATATTTTATCTAACCAAATTAGCATAATGGGAAAGTCCATCCAATGTTACATTTGTTGCCTCCTTGTGCGGAAGGGAGACATTTTATTGGTTAATTCTACCAATAGGAATCGTCAGCACTGTAACTGGAAGGACATAGATGGGACTAAGAGGGGTGAATAGGGACACCTAGAATTTTTCCATTGATTAGTACCATGTTTAGCCTATGTAGAATGTAAAGGTGTACCCTCTACTTGAGCATTAAGATATATATTGGCCCCCCTTCCATCCCGTATGCATTAATTTCTATGGTAGCAAGAAGCTTCTGTCACCCTTGCAGTCCAATGCATAGTCCTATCAACATACAACTAACCCTATGGTGTGATCCACACGCGCGCTCATATGATGGGCACTGAAGGACAACAACATAACCACAAGCAAATTAAACCAATCATAGCAATTCACTAATTACTAATAGGACAATAAAAATCTACTCATACATAATAGGATGGCAACACATCATTGGATAATAAAGTGAAGCATAAAGCATCATGTTCAAGTAGAAGGTACAGCGGGTTCTGGGAGAGTGGACCGCTGTAGATAGATGGGGGAAGGTGATGATGATGTTGGTGAAGATGACGAGGTTGTTGGAGTAGATAGCCGTCACACGATGATTGCCGCAGTGGCGTTCCGATGCCACTGGGAGAGGGGGGAGAGAACCCCCCCTATTCTTCTTCCTTGGCCTTCACCCTAGATGGGAGGAGAGTTGCCCCTCTGGTACATGGTTGCCATGGCGGTGGAGGGGCAGGAGCCCCTCCGAGATTGGATCTCTCCCTCTATTCTCTTCTGTTTCACGTTCCCGTCTTCTGGCCCTTCACCGTTTCTTAAATTCTCGGAGATCCGTAAATCCATTGGGCTGAAATTTTTAGGGGATTTTTGTCCATAAATTATCTTTCTTGCGGCAGAAAGAAGGGCAGCAACCGCCTTACGAGGTGCCCACAACCCATCAGGGCGCGCCCTGGCGGGTGGTGGGCCCCTCCAGCACTGTCTTGCGTTGATATTTCTTACAAAAATTCACATATATTCCAAAAAAATCTCTGTAAACTTTTATCGCGGCTGGTCTTCGTTTGATATGGATATTCTACAAAACAAAAAGTGCAACAAACAGGAACTGGAACTAGGCACTAGATCAATATGTTAATCCAATAAATCATATAAATTGTTGCCAAAAGTATGTGGAAGTTGTATAATATTGTCATGAAACAATCAAAAATTATAGATACGACGGAGACATATCAGCATCCCCAAGCTTAATTCCTGCTCGTCCTCGAGTAGGTAAATGATAAAAAAAGATAATTTTTATGTGGAATGCAACCTAGCATAATCTTGATCATATATCTAATAATGGCATGAATATTAAGACACGAGCGATTCAAAGCAATAGTCTACAATTTGACATAAAGACATCAATACTCAGGCATCCCAACAAACAATCATGTCTTTCAAAATATCAACGCTAAAGAACGTTATCCCTACAAAAGCATATAATCTTGTCATGCTCCATCTTCTTAACACAGAGTATTTATCATGCACAAACCCAATGACAAGCCGAGCAATTGGTTCATACTTTTTAACGCGCTTCAACTTTTTCAACCCTCACGCAATACATGAGGGAAATCCATGGACATAGCACTATGGGTGGAATAGAGTATGATGATAGGGGTGAACATTGAGAAGACAAAAAGGTAAGAAAGTCTCACATCAATGCGACTAATCAACGAGCTATGGAGATGCCCATCAATTGATATCAATGTGAGGAGTAGGGATTGCCATGCAACGGATGCACTAAGATGTATAAGTGTATGAAAGCTCAACATGGAAACTAAGTGGGTGTGCATCTAACTCTATAATGAAAAATTCCCACTAGTATATGAAAGTGACAACATAGGAGACTCTCTATATGAAAAACGTGGTGCTACATTGAAGCAGACATGTGGAACTAGCATGCCCCTTCTCTCTTTTTCTCTCATTTTATTTCTTTTCTTTTAATCTTTTTCTTTATTCTCTTTTTTTATTTTTTTATTTTTTTCTTTCTGTCCGGAGTCTCATCCTGACTTGTGGGGGAATCATAGTCTCCATCATCCTTTCCTCACTGGGACATGCTCTAATAATGAATAATGATGATCATCACACTTCTATTTACTTACAACTCAATATTACAACTCGATACCTAGGACAAAGTATGACTCTATATGAATGCCTCTGGCAGTGTACCAGGATGTGCAATGATCAAGCATAGCAAGGACATCAAAAAATGGACAAGCCATGGAAATATCATGCTAGCTATCTTATGATCATGAAAAGCAATATGACAATGAATGTTCAAGTCATCAAAACGGAAGCGGGGGAAGTTGCATGGCAATATATCTCGGAATGGCTATGGAAAGGCCATAATAGGTCGGTATGGTGGCTGTTTTGAGGAAGATATAATAAGGCTTATGTGTGATAGAGCGTATCATATCATGGGGTTTGGATGCAATTGCGGAGTTTGCATCGACTCTCGAGGTGAGAAAGGGCAATGCACGGTACCGTAGAGGCTAGCAAACTGTGGAAAGCTAAGAGTGTGTATAATCCATGGACTCACATTAGTGATAAAGAACTCATATACTTATTGCAAAAGTTTATTAGACCTTGATGCAAAGTACTACTACGCATGCCCCTAGGGGGATAGATTGGTAGGAAAATACCATCGCTCGTCCGTGGCCGCCACACATAAGGAAGACAATCAATAAGAAATCATGCTCCAACTTCATAGCATAACTAGAGACTATACGTGCATGCTTCGAGAATCACAAGCCTTAACACCAGTATTCTTACTAACCACAATGGTTTACTAGTATCTCCCACATATTATCATCTCTATATCGGAAAACTATTGCAAGGAATCAAACACATCATATTCAGTGATCCACAAGTTTTATGTAGGATTTTATGACTAACCATGCAAATGACCAATTCCTGTTGACTCTCTAAATAGATATAAGTGAGGCATGAGAGTTCAATTATTTCTACAAAATACCATTCTCTAATAACCATAAGTGAAGCAAAAGAGCATTCTACAAAATAAAGATTTTCCATGTGAAGAGAAACAGGCAATCCAAACTTCAAATGATATAAGTGAAGCACATGAAGCA